AAAAATCTCACATCAGTTATATTTGTGTGCCTTCTATTATTTACTAACACATGATCTATTTGATTGTGTGTGCTCCCATCTGGAGAAGTCCAAGTGTATTTATGAACATCACGGTGTGGAAATTTGTACTTTTTACAATTACATCTTTTGACGTAGCGAAGGTTACTGCTCTAACACCGTTATCATTACTAAGTGCATGGAGACTCTCACTGCCTATTGTGGGTTTGAAGATATTCTCCCTCCCAATTTTTGCACTGAAATTTCCTCACATAATTTTCATGTGATACTTGCCAAATGTATCAAATACTGATTCCAATTCTTCATAAAAGCTATCCTTGATATCATCACTTTTGTCCTCAGTTGGGGCATGAACACTAAGGACAATAATGTTGCAACAACGCCCTTCCAAAAATTATGTAAGACAGCCTGTCACCAACAAATTCTACTCTCTTAATTGCTGCCCTAATTCTGCTATGAACAAAAAAAACCGTCCCTAACTGATGATTGTCATTCCCCTTTCCTTAGAAAAATGTAAAATTGTCCACTGGGATCGTGCCCTCCCCCTCCCATCGCACTTCCTGCACTGCCACTAAGTCTAACTTATAATTCTCTAATTCCCTACTCACTGATTTCAGTGCCCCAGCCCTATAGAAGCTCCTAATATGAAATTAAAAAGAATGGGCCAATTTCGATAGAAAGGCCAAGAGAAACCTAAAAGTCTCAAGTAAAGGAAAATGACAAGAGCAGAGGGGAGAGGGAGAGTGAAGTCAGAGGAATTAAAGAACAGGTATGAATACAAAAGAGTACATGACACCAACATAGCCTGCAGCAACTTAAACATTTATAAAGTAAAACAGTGTGATTCTTTCCTCTGCTCTCCATGATTCTTCCTGCAAAGTTCCATTCTTTAGTTAATTATAGCTAATAAGAATCACTAAATATGTCACTGAAATAAATAACAGCAATAATGTGGCAAAATGGTGAAGGGTCAAGGGTCAGATGGTGGGTGCTAATGGATCAAGGGTGATGGATGGATGGTGATGCATATTGTTAAATGTTAATGGGTCAAAGGTTCAGAGCAATGTGTTCTGTGTCAAAGGTAAGGAGTGTTGCTGGGTTAAGGGTGATAGTGGTGATGAAAGAATAAAAATAAAACATAAAATCAAACTTTTTAACAGTCCCACTAATAAATAAAATATAGAAAATACAGAAAAATTTCAGACTACCAATCTCTAGCTCATTACTAAACACTAGTATAACAGAAAAAGTTACTTTACCTGCAGGAGACCATACTTGATTTCTACTTCAAACAAATTGTAATTTTTAAGTTGTGAAGGTTGAGGAGAAGGCATATTCTCTGTGAAGCCTACGATATTAGCAAGACTGGCAAACACAGGCTCTGTAGCAAATGCCAGGCTTTCCCTGCATCAAGAACAGAACACTGATTAATAAAGCAAATAAAATAGTATATATTACAATAAAGGCAAAGTGAACACATCTTACCTAGATTCTTCTAATGGATGCTGAACAATTAGAATCTGAGGATGCCTTAGTCTAGTCAGCTGTGAGACACCCCTTCGCAACATTTCCAACATAGCCTCTCTATCACTGCGGGGCCATCTTTCTAACTGGCGTTTTTCAAAGACAAAGATAGCTGCCTCTTGTTTAGTGGACTTCTTATATCCTTGGTATATCTTCCATAGTAAACCTACTCCATAACATATAAATCAATACATCACACAGAAATTAAAATTCTAATCTTATTATAAAGTTCCCCCTCCCCCCAAATAAATTGTATGTTTCTCATAACAAATCATATGCATGGAATATGAATCCCTTCTTGCATTAATTCTTTTCTATGTAAACCAACATGAAAAATGATTTTCTACACTCAGAAATATTTAATTCTCTTCTTAATCCAACTCTTCACATACTCAACAGAAGCGAAGTATTGTGCTGAATTGTGGTATTATTTCATTGGAATAAAAGTCAGAAAACATATGAATTATTCCACAATTTCCTTGCAAGTTGTACATTATGTGTTTGAAACATATTTTCAACCAAATACCCTTTTTAAATATACAAATTTATTTACACTTCTGCCACTAAAGGCTGAATGCATGTGTACGAACAAAATTTAATGTTTTATCTACCTTACTAGTTCTATCACCAGAATGGAGAACAATTCATAAAGGTATAATGACAGTTAACAAATGCTTTGAAAATGTGGCAACTTCAAATATTAGGAAATGGCAGTTACAAAACCAAAATAATATTCATGACAAAGATGGAGCAGATTAAGCTCATATAATTCTACTATTTATTTCAATAGATTTTATCTCTCCATCCCCTACCTAAAAGATGAAGAAAACTGTAATTTTAAAGGTTGTGAAACTTGATATTTAATTTTAAAGGTGTTTCAGAACAAAATTCTGAGAAGAATGTTCAGATTTAATACAGAAGAACCAACCAGAAGATGCAGAAAATTACATAATAAGGTGCTTCATAATTTGTAAGCA